GAGAGGCTGCTGAGCGACAGGCTGAGAGAGAGGCTGCGGAGCACCAAGCTGCCAGAGAGCATGAACTAAAAATGGCTGAGTTGGAGAGGTTGACTGCCTCCCCTGTAAGTATTAATTCCAGAGAGTCTTCTACACCCAAACCACGTGCAGAGAACTTTCCAACTTTGGACAAGGATGGTGATTTGGATGTTTTCCTGCGCAGTTTTGAAAAGGTTTGCAGGCAGTACCAGCTACCAAAGACCAGTGGGCAAAATACCTCACCCCTTGTCTCAGAGGTCCTGCACTGGAAGCATTTGCTGCGCTTCCAGCAGAATTTGACCAGGACTATGATGCGATTAAGGCTGCCTTGCAGGAACGGTACAACCTTACTCCTGAGGTGTACCGAAAGAAATTCAGGACTTTGCAAAAGCATCCCACAGAAAGTTATGCAGCAGTTGTGGGGCACCTGGCGACAGCATTCCGACAGTGGACTACAGGGCTGGAGATTACCACTTTGGAAAGTTTGCAAGACCTGTTAATAAAAGAACAGTTTTTGCAGCTCTGCCCAGCTGATGTACAGGAATGGCTGCTGGACCGGAACCACAAAACAGCATTGGAAGCAGGTAAGCTTGCAGATGTCCACACTGCCAATCGAGCAACAGTGGACCGGAGCAGAGGTTTTGCCAAGGGAACATCCAGCTGGAGGACCACACCACCACGACTCCCCATCGCCAGGCCTAGCGGGCCATCTTTTGTTTCAGCTCCTACCTCAGGGAGAGGGGGAGCTAGTGCCATGTCTGCGCAACGAGATAGTCGCAGATGTTTTATTTGCAACCGAATGGGGCACTTGAGTAATACCTGCCCAGAGAAAAGGAGGCCAGCACCCTCATCCGGAGGGGTTCAACCTGCAAGAGCCCCATCTTCTGTGTTGTTCGTGACCAAGTCAGAGGGCAACAACAATGTGAACCTGCAGGATGTTACAGTGGGAGAGAAGGTAACTGTGGGACTCAGTGACACTGGGGCAGATGTGACTCTTGTGCGTCCAGAGCTAGTGCGCTCTGAGGACTTCATCCCTGGCAGGACTTTAGCCGTAAAGGGGATTGGGGGAATATGTCCTGCAGTGCCAATGGCACGTGTATATCTGGATTGGGGAGCAGGCAGGGGTCTGAGGGATGTGGGGGTATCGGATAATATTCCTACAAATGTATTGCTTGGTACCGACTTAGGTAGGTTGTTATCCCAGTATGTGTCTGAGAGTGATAGGTGTTACGAACTAAAGCCCTGTAGGGGCCCTGCTGTGGAAAGGACAGGGTGCAAATGTTTATGTAAATTACTGTGCTTGGAGGGAGGTCAGAATGTATGTCAGTCTGTGCCAGAGCCCAGGGTGTCTGTGGAATCGTGTAACAAGGTATGTAGACAATTGTGCTGAGGGGGAAAGCAGAGCAAGCATGTGTGCCAGTCTGTGCCAGAACCAGATATGTCTGCAATACGATGTGAGAGTGTGCCAAGACAGAGTCACTGGGAGGGAGGGCAGAGTGAGAGTGTGTATCAGTCTGTGCCAGAACCAAACTTGTCTGTGGTACCCTGTGAGGGTGTGCCAAGTGCAAATCACGGGGAGGGGAGGCAGAGGTTTCCACTGTAGCTGTGGTAACCCGGCAGCGGTCTTTCCCGAATAGGGAGCAGGGCCTGCCGCAGCCCGCAAACCCAGAGCGTATGTCAACAGGAGAGTACCCAGATGGGGGAACCTGGGAGTCTCGCACCTTGTTACCATCCCCTCCTGTAGTCCAGGGGCAGGAATCTGTGTCTGAGCCCCCTATTGACTCAGAGACCGAGGTGCGGTGTCCTGAATTCCAGCAGGCCCAACGGGCAGATCCCACGTTAGAGGTATTGAGGGAACGTGCTAGGCAGCCACACATAGACAGGGATAGGGAGAGAGTGTACTTGGATAATGAAAGGTTATACATTCCTACTGTGGGGCAAGAGCCTTGGGTAACAGAAAGGCAGCTGGTGGTACCTCAGAGGTACCGGGACCAGCTGCTGAAGGTTGCTCACGCCATCCCCATGGCTGGGCACCTAGGGGTGGCGCGGACTAAGTCTCGCTTGTCCCACCATTTCTATTGGCCTGGTATGGGCACAGATGTGGTAAATTATTGCCGTTCCTGCCCAGAGTGTCAGAGGGTGGGAAAGCCTGGGGAAGTGGGTAAGGCCCCCCTAATACCCCTTCCTATAGTTGGGGAACCATTTGAGAGAATAGCTGTGGATATTGTCGGTCCCCTTGCCATTCCCAGTAGTTCGGGCAAGCGATATATATTAACCGTGGTAGATTACGCCACTCGCTACCCAGAGGCAGTAGGCCGACAAGGTGGCTGATGCTCTGTTAAGCATATTCTCCCGTGTGGGATTTCCCAGAGAAATGCTAACCGATCAAGGCCCCCAGTTCACCTCTGATCTGATGCAGTCCCTCTGCAAAATTGTGCAGGTAGAACATCTAGTGACCAGCCCCTACCACCCCAAACCAATGGCTTGTGTGAGAGGTTTAATGGGACTCTCAAGCAGATGCTGAGGACCTTTGTAGAGTCACAGGGGAAGGATTGGGAGCGATACCTGCCACACCTCCTGTTCGCTTACAGGGAGGTGCCGCAGGAATCCACAGGCTTCTCCCCATTTGAGCTCCTCTATGGACGTAGGGTGCCCGGCCCCCTAGCTCTGATCCGAGAGGGGTGGGAGGGGGAGTTGGGGGCCCCAAAGACCTCTATTGTAGATTATGTACTCCGGTTTAGGGACAAAATGCAGACTTTCATGGGGGAGGTGTGTGAGAATCTGAGAGCTGCCCAAACCAAGCAGAAGGGGTGGTATGATCGTGATGCCTGAGAAAGAGTGTATGGAGTGGGTCAAAAGGTTCTTGTGCTGATACCCACAAGGCAGAACAAATTGCAGGCAGCATGGGAGGGTCCGTTTACTATTCTGCAGCGGATCAATGATGTAAACTATGTGGTATCCCTGGATGAGGGGGGAAGGAGGAAAAAAGGTGTATCACGTAAATATGATTAAAGCCTATTATGACAGGGAGACTACGGTGTTAACCGTATGTAGTCTGCCTGGGGATGAGCAAGAACCTGATCCCCTTGTGGACCTACTGGCTGCAACCCGGGATCTAGAGGGCATTGAGGTAGCCCAGGTTAATACCCACCTAACAGAGGGACAGAGGAGTCAGCTGTTTGAAGCCCTTAGACCTTACCATAGTTTCTTCACAGGGAAGCCTGGCAGGGCACGCCTAGTAACCCATAACGTGGACACTGGGGATCACCATCCCCTCAGACATGCTGCCTATAGAGTATCCTTAGAGGTGAAGGCAGACATTAGGAGGGAAATAGAGGAAATGCTGGAGCTGGGTGTAATCCGGAAGTCTCACAGCCCCTGGGCCTCCCCAGTGGTGATGGTCCCCAAGAAGGACAAGACCACTAGATTCTGTGTGGACTACCGGCGGTTGAACCTGGTAACTGCATTTGATGCATATCCTATGCCACGCATTGATGCATTGCTAGACCAACTAGCTGGTGCTATGTTCCTAAGTATTATGGATCTCAGCCGAGGGTACTGGCAGATCCCCATGACCCCTGAAGCGCAAGAGAGATCGGCCTTTATCACTCCCTTTGGGCTATATGAGTTCCAGGTGATGCCCTTTGGGATGAAAAATGCCCCTGCCACCTTCCAACGTCTAGTTAATCACCTGCTAGAGGGACAGGAGGGGCATGCGGTAGCATATCTGGATGATATTGCAGTGTTCAGTGATACTTGGGAGGAACACCTGCTCCATTTAACACAAGTTGTGGACCGCATAGCAGCAGCTGGGCTCACCATAAAACCAGATAAGTGCCAACTGGGCATGACAGAGGTTCAGTACCTGGGGCATAGAGTGGGAGGGGGGACTCTTCGCCCTGAGCCCAGTAAGGTAGAGGCTATAATGGCCTGGCCTGTCCCCCAGACCAAAAAGCAGGTGATGTCATTCCTGGGTACTGCAGGGTACTATAGGAAGTTTGTACCACATTATAGTACCCTGGCCAAACCCCTAACCGATCTCACTAAGAAAGCACTCCCACGAGTGATTAAGTGGACACCTGAGTGTGAAGTGGCCTTCAGCTCCTTAAAACAGGCCCTTACTGATTCTCCCATACTACAGGCCCCTAATTTCCACAGACGGTTCTTAGTACAAACCAATGCCTCTAATTATGGCCTGGGAGCGGTGCTGAGTCAGGTGGATGAGAAGGGGGATGAGCATCCTATTGTGTATCTCAGCCGGAAGCTGCTACCTAGGGAAGTGGCCTATGCCACTGTAGAAAAAGAGTGTTTGGCCATAGTTTGGGCCTTGCAAAAACTGCAACCGTACCTGTACGGGCGCCAGTTTACCGTGATTACCGATCACAACCCACTACATTGGTTACATAGGGTGGCTGGGACAAATGGGAAACTCCTCAGGTGGAGTCTGGTTCTACAGCAATACGAGTTTACCATACAGCACAAGAAGGGAAGTACACATGGCAATGCTGATGGTTTGTCCCGCCAGGGGGAAGACTCCACCTAATACGCAAGGTAGAGGCATGTGAGCCTTCTCCCATTGCGTCTCTTATTTGGGTGAGGTGTCACGGCAAGGGTGTATAATTTATTATTACACTATGGAATATCATCCTTTAATGTACAAATTACAGAGATGCTATTGCTGAGGTCAACAGGGGTTATATCTTTTGAAGCTGGGACCCCCACAGAGGTCAGATGACAAAAGGGGTAGTGTGAATGGCATAGCAATGTGAAAAGGATTTTACTATATGGATGTGAAGTAATCAAGGATCTGCAAGGTGTGAGGTTCTACACTTGGAAAAGTCTGAATGTCTCTTCATCCATTTGGCATGTACCTTGTAAAGGATAGTTCAATCATTTCAAAGGTAATGGGATTCGTTTCATGAAGATCCTTGTGTTCCAGTATCTTATCCAAGTGAAACATTCATACTTACCCACAGGTTAATAATTAAGCCTCATTTTTATTATATTTGGAATGGGACAAGCCCAATATTTTAATTAAGCCCAAACATGAGTTGCACAACTTAAACCGTGTGGCAGGACTTGTGATGTCCATCCTATTGGATCATGGGCGGGGCGTGCAACATGTCTTTGGAATGGGAAAACAATAACAAATTCATAGAGGCAATTATTATTTCTGTGGCAAGTACAGTAGAGGCGATAAAACCAAAAGTTTGTATGTAGGTTGTTGGTTTCTTGAACAAAGGAGGTGGTCACTTAGTATCCCTATTGCTCCACCCCTGGATGAGGCGTGGCAATTCACAGGGTATATCTCCTGTGATTCTGAAGGGTGTGTGTGTACTTGCTTGGGGCCAAGATCTTATTTTGAGTGAGTCACCATCTTTCCTTGCCAGAGACCCCCTGGACAGAAGTTGCACTTTGAAAAAACCTAAGTGAGTAATTAGGACTTCTGTATTTTATCCTTTTTGTTTTTATCTGTTGTTGGTGTAAATAATTTGTTTATCATATTTTGTTATATACACTGTGATAAATTTTTGCTCATAATAAACATTCATTTATTAAGTTCTGCCTTTGTCTGGTTAAGAATCACGTTACCTGAAGAGACTAGTTAGTATTTTTGCAATAACTTAAATATTGTACTAAGTAATATTTGGTGGGTTTTATTATTGATTTACCTAGGGGACCAAGGCACCCCATTTATAAATTGTCTTGGTGGTGGCAGCGTTAAAATAGTAATAGTTATATTATTATGTTTAAGTGTGGGTGGTTTTAAAAGGGGGATTTTGTCATTATTTCCGGTCTAGTGCAGACAAATAGTGAACTTTAACCCTTTCACCACCACAACTACGTAACACACACTCTTGGAGTAGTGTGCGTTTGTGACAGACAGCACCCTCTCTCCCCAGCGGCAGCTTACCCTACCAAGGGGAGACACCAATCTTCCAGACGGTGCAGATGGGACCGTGGTCTCTGTGCCTGACCCACAGGGATGCTGGACAGCCTGTCCAGATCCCCAGCTACCATCGCAGGAGTATCACGGGGAGGAGGTAAGCCAATTCTCCCCTCCCCAGCTAACTCCTAACTTGGCCCCAGGGTTAACAGAGGAGATGTTAACCCCACTGACCCCCATGTTCCCCTGTATACTGAGCCGGACTATGTCCCAAGCCCCTGGCAGCTGGGCAGAGTGCAGTTGGCCTCTGCCCTCCCTTTGTCCCTTGTCCAGAGCATGATGTCCTGCAGGCTATACCAGCGGAAGAGCTGGCATCAGGGCAGAGCGCCGCTGGTTTCTGCCCTACTGACCCCCTTGTTACAGGACTGGCCTGCACCCCCCTCACCCCAGCAGAAGCGCTGGCATCTGGGCAGAGTGCCGCTGGCCTCTGCCCCTCAAGTCCCCACAGCGTGTTGCCCCATCGCCCCAGAGAAATACCCAGGTGCAGTAACTGTTTGTTGTGGGTGCTCCTGCACTTTGCTGTTGTGGATGGGTTGTCAGACTAACTATGGCACTGACCGACAGAAGGGCAGGTACCTGGTTAGTCTACCCCCCAAAGGGGAGATATGTGGCGAAAGTAACCTCGCCACTGGTTTTTGGAGGGGCCTGTTTGCCAGCCTCCTGCCCTGCGACTATGGCCCAGGGATGTATTGCCCTTCTAGGAACTGATTTGGGCATATTATTATTATGCTGCTGCTGGCCCTTTAAGAACCATCTGGGGACATACAGTGGAGTTACTGGGTGGCCACCATTTCATGTATCAGAGGCACATGGTGAGAACAATGGATGAAGCACATGGTGAGAACAATGGATGGCGGCCATTTTAACTCACAGACACTGTTTTGACTTTTCTACATGGTGCCATTTTGCAGGTATTTGGTGCACAAAGACATTGTTCAGTAGTTTTAAACTACAGAACAGGGGACACATTTAACAGTAATTATTTTTCATATAGCCTGTATATGTTCTGAGGAATCTGCATTAAACCGTATCTTCCAAACTACTGAACGGATCTGGGTGAATTTTAGATATGTGCTTTGTGACAGAACCATCTGTCTGCTTGGATTTTTACTACGTTCGTCTGTTTGTCCCCCGTTCGTATGAATGGCTGGTTTCTATAGCCCAGCCATTCGAATGACTCTTTTTCCCGAACAAACCTGCCGAACGAACGGCCACCCAAGTGAGGAGTGTGCTGCTGGTTAACGAAGTGATCCCAATTAGAACGTTGTGGTTAACCGCAGACACTTCTCAATTAAACTGAATTCAGGGTGGTCGTCGTTCGTATGTCGACCACGAGGCAGCGGCCATTTTAAATCACGCGAACGCCCAGCGGTGTTTGGCTCTATTTCTATGGAACTGAAAACGGACACTTTTTCTGCCGAACACCGCTGAAACAACGGAACGCCTGGCTGCCTCCACGAAAGCATGCGAACACCGGCCGTTCGGGAGATTGAGAGCATACGAAAAGACTTAACCCAGATAGCCTTCCCATGGAGTCATTCGTATACCGAAAGACTGTAAGAACTTTGACTCCATGGCGATTGAACTATGTGTGTGGGATCTGAGCGCTATTCGCTAATAATATGCACTCAGATCCAGGCTATCTGGGGACATGTAATACGAATGGGAAATGTTCAGTTTTCATGTAGTTATATATTTTTTTGTCTTTTATTATTTTATGTCTAAGATGGCGACTGGCTTTGTCCTGGAGTTAATTGAGTTACTTGGTAATTAACTCCAGGGCAGAGGGGAGGGAATCATAATGCACTGTGGGTAAAATCTGTGACTGTGTGTCTGGGATGTCCCCAGATCTGTCTGTAATTTAAGTCTCCCATTTGGTCCCCTAGGGGAGTGTCCACCAAGTGGGAGACCTGCATAAATACGGGCAGGTAGCCCACAGTAAAGCCAGATTCTGTTTGACCCTCAATGCGGAGCTTCTGTCTCGTTATTGGGGGGATTTCTTCTTCACGTTTAGAGACTGCTGGATGGAACGAAAGCCGCTTGGGGAATATTGCTGTTCGACGGTTACCAGCAGTTCGTGTATTGCCGTTCGGGAGTTTGGAGCCGTTCACGGATCTCGATCGGGAGATTGCCGCTTCCCCTGCATTTGGTTCGTGTGTTACAGAGTAAGCGAACGGAGACTGTACTGCAGCCGGGGAAGGTCTACTAAACGGCGGTTTGGCTTAAAGACACTAGAGGTGTCTTAACAATTGGTGGCAAGCGACGGGATGAATCCTACAGCATTGGAGGTCAGCTACAAGACATGCAGTACGAGGAATTAAGGCGTGCTACACTTAAGGACATATTGGAACGCCGAGGAAGGTCAGCAAGCAATTTAAAGAAACGGGAGATTATTGCTTTGCTACTGGAGATGGATGCAGCAACGGGAATGGAGAGAGTCAACGTGCCCAGTACCTTGGATTTAACACCCGAGGAAATACAATTTAACCGGGCAGTGCAAATAAGACTGGCACATTTTGGCCCCAACCCCTCAGCTGACATCGTGGAGCGTGTGCAGGCAGCAGTAGCAGCACAACAGGCGCTCCGGGAAAGAGGAGCTGCAGCAGCAGAGGTACCTTACAATAATAATGTGTTTGCTAGAAAGAAGGTACCTTTTGCTGCATTTAAAAATTTTGTGGAGACTGAGGGAGAGATTGATGGGTTCCTAGCGGACTTTCAGAGGCAGTGTGCTCTACATCAGGTACCTGCAGATGAATGGGTCACCATCCTCTCTGGGAAATTATCTGGCCGGGCTAGTGAGGCGTTTCAGGCCATCCCCGAGGAGGAGATCACCAGCTACCGAGCTGTGAAAGATGCGCTCCTAGCCAGGTATGCGGTGACCCCAGAGGCGTACAGGCGGAGGTTTAGAGAAACCAACAAGCTGGTTGGGGACTCTTATGTGGAGTGGGCCTGCAGAGTCCATCGTACCGCAGCCCACTGGATGGCTGGATGCCAAGCGGTAACTGGGGAGGAGGTGTTACAAGTGTTCCTGCTGGAACACTGCTTTGATAGATTACCTGCTGGGGTCCGGGAGTGGGTCAGAGATAGAAAACCCTCTACCCTACCCGAGGCTGCTCGTCTGGCAGACGAATACACGGATGCCCGCAAGTTGGATGGTACAGCTGCCAAAGCCCCTGCCAGACTGGAGTATCGACCAGCAGTAATACCCGCTCCTTCAGCCTACCAACCCCCAGTACACCGTAACCCAGCCGCACCGCCAGCTAACAATTTTGTACAACCTGCACGATTTAATGCCCGTGAATATTCTCAACCCATCCGGTGCTTTGGGTGCAAGCAGTTGGGGCACAAGCGGCCTGAGTGCCCACTGAACAGTGCCAACCAAGCTCAGTCCTGGAGGAGACCAGTCAGTGGGAACCAGCGCCCACCTCAGCCTGCTGCTCACTGCATAGAGCAGGAGGAATTCTGGGGCATCCTACACGAGGCAGACCCAGTGCAAGCAGCTCACCAGGATAATCGCCAGCAACATCGGCAAACTGTGAAGCTGAATGGCAGAGTGGTAAATGGGTTGCGAGACACAGGAGCCACGATGACACTACTCCAAAAGAACTTGGTCTCAGAGCATCAACACACTGGGGACACTGTGGCAGTAAGGGTAGCAGGGGGTGCTGTGTTTCGCTTACCTGTTGCCCGGGTACATTTGGATTGGGGAGTGGGCGCTAGACATGTGGATGTGGGGGTGATGAAAGACTTGCCCGCAGATGTTCTTCTGGGAAACGATTTGGCCCCTTTGGTTTCAGCATATGCTCCGATGGGCCCTGCAGATGTGAACACCGTGACCACCCGTGCCCAGGCCCGTGCTGCCAGAACCAGCCCACCTGCTGATGAGACCCAGGTAAGATCTCCTTCCCCGACTGGTACCCCAGATCAGGTCCCCTTAAGCTGGGATTCCCCAGAGGAATTTGGGAGGGAAACCCGGGCAGATCCGACCCTCCAAAAGTACAAAGACAGGGCAGATTCCCAGAAGAGTGTTGCCTCTCCGCCGAATCGCCAGTTAGTGGTACCTGCAAAGTACCGGCAGGAGATTCTGCGGATAGGGCATGATGTTCCGTTAGCTGGACATCTAGGGTCCCGCCGCACAGCCTATAGGATCTCGCAGAATTTCTTTTGGCCAAACTTTAACCAGGCTGTGCGGATGTACTGCAGCACGTGTGACACATGTCAACGGGTAGGAAAGCGGGGGGACCACCCTATGGCTAGGCTATTATCGATGCATATTATAGGGGAGCCCTTTGCCCGCATAGCCGTTGACATTGTGGGTCCACTGGCCAGGGCTAGTCCATCAGGTAAGAAATACGTTCTTACCGTGGTGGACTATGCCACCCGCTATCCAGAGGCAGTAGCGCTGTCTAACATAGAGGCAGAGACGGTTGCTGATGCCCTGGTTAGAATTTTTACTAGGGTCGGGTTCCCTAAGGAGATTCTCTCCGACCAGGGAACCCAATTCACCGCTGTGCTCACCCAGCAGCTGTGG